TTCTTTAATCTCCTCAAACTAGTCAACTGGCTCTTGTAATTAGGACGAAGGTAGTAGTTATTATATTTTAAAAAAGCAAACATAAAATAAGGAATTTTTATGCATTTGCTTTCCCAAAAAAAACAGAGAGAGAGGGAAATAGAGAGATTTGTAGAGAGAAGCAACCATTTCTGAGATAACTTTAACCTTTGGAGAGAGCTGAGAACAATATGATAAAGTTTTTGCGGATTCCTTTCTGAGCAAATCATGCGTGTGAAAACCAACAAGGCTAGGCCCTTCAATCTCGTAAAGAAGCTTTTTGGGATAATGGCATCGAAAAAGGAAGGGTAGTTCATGATTCATTTTGATACTCTGTAACTGATTCGATGCTCAATTTAGGAACCAGATAGGCCCCAAAATCATACCTCACCCCCTCGCATTATTACCACATTTGTTCTGTGTCTCTCGAACCTTTCTTCCCTTTTCTTTTGGTCTTTTCCCCATCGGTTTCCGTTGGCCAAAAGTGCCTCTAGCATTTTTTATTATGATTCCGTTTAGTATAAAACATTGAGAATAAAAAATAAAAATTCATATTAAAATTAAGAAAATTAATTAATAGAATGTTTAGTATGAGATATCACTTATTACTTGAAATAAGATAAACTCGTGTAAGAGAAGGTTGAGTGTATTTCCGAATCTCACTTACATAAGATTTGTCCAATATCAAGTAACAAACGATGTCTCATACCAAATGCTTTTTTTTAATAGGTTTTTTTTAAATCATAATAACAATTCTCACCTCTCATTCTTAATATCCTTCATTATAAATGATATCTATAGTTCTTCTCCTCATTCAATTATAGTTTTAGTGAATGCTAAAAATTATACGTACCACGAGATGTGTTTTATCATTTTGGACCAACGAAGATATATTTTAGTTCAAGAAAAAGAGGATAGCACCTTTAATTTTTGTTTAATAGCCCTCGTATGATAATGTCAGAAGAATGCCAGGATTATAAAAAAGAAGCACAAATACGACGAGGTGTACCTAAGCCCAATTGTCAGTCAAATCAGGTGTGTTTATAAGGTTTTTTAATTTGGGTCAACAGAGATTAGCATAATATAATTATTAATTCGAAGAGAAGACCGTATAAAATTTCAAAACGAAGGGATCAATTGCAACTGAGACGACAAATAATAGGTGGACAAAAAATCAGTTTTAAAAATATTGCCGATTTTGTATTTTTTGGGAACCAAAGATCTAAAAGTCTATATTACAATTGAATATAGTTCGGGCAAAATAACCAAAGAAGAAATTATATACATGTTTGGAAAAAAATTCGTAAAAAAAAAAAAGAGGTTGCCACTTGCCCACTTGCAAGTGGAGTAGAAGAGTGGGAGAAGGCAATGGAGGGACAGGAAAAGAGGAAGCGCACAGGAAAGTGAGGACATGCCATTAATGTAGTAACTATAAAGTGGCACATCTATTCACTTAATTATCACCTCTCTCTGTCTCTCTCTCTCTCTCTATATATATATATATATTCCCTTACCTGTATTCTCGTCCCTTTTTTTTTTTTTTAACTTCTCTCTCTCTCTCTCTCTATCCACTCCCTAAATTAAACTCTACTTGATGTTTAATCAGTCTTAATAAGTTACTGAATTCTTTCATGCTAGTTCACATCTTTCTGTTTTACGATTATATACGTTGCTTAAAATGAAGGTGATTAAAACATGTCAGGGGGAGGTTAAAATTTTGAAACAAACTAATACTTTTTCTTGCTATTTTTCAATATAGCATCAGAAAATTGGTTTGCAAAGATAATATTGCATTGCCACTAAGTGGCTAACATGATCTCCCTTGTAACCTATGACAGTTCTTGTCAGTCTGTCTATGAGCTTGTCTGAAATAACTTATCAAAAAATTTTTAATCGTAATTTACAAAATAGAAAATAAATATATATAAAAAAATTTATTTTAATTTACGAAAAACGTGATTATAAATATTTATAATCATTGATCCAAACAAGTCCTAAGTAGCCCTGCATTGTGCTGGGAAATGTTGACATTATTAATTGGCTTTATACTAAACTAATATTTTCCTGATACGATTGAGTCACTCTTACATGAGAAACAAACATACGTCTCTGGGCAGAGGTTGAACCACCTGGTTCCCACTGGGGTGGACGGTTGAGCATTAATTTAATGGGGAAGAAATCTTCGCAGGATCTAGCACAGCGAGCCCGAAATATAATTTAATCGAAAAGAAAGTTAATATATTAGTTGGTATAGAATTTAATGACGTTGTCAGCCAAAAAAATAAATAAAAGGAATTTAATGACGTTGGATATGATACATCCAAGAGGCGCCTGATTTGAAGATTCAACGAAGTTACTTGCATGAGACTCTTACGAGACGTGTGAAACAGGAGCGCCTGACTAATCTACGTGGACGTCTAGTCATTCACAATCATAACAAAAAAACGAAACTACAAATTTTTGAAAGGAAAAAAAAAGCGAGATATAAAGAAAAGGCAAGGGAAGGAAGGTTCCAGGGAACATGAAAGAAAGAAGGAAAGGGAAATTGGGGAAGAGGCTGTCAGTGGACCTGATGACTTTTGTTTTGTTTGCATGCAGAGTTGGAGTATGAGGAGTCAATGAACTAAAACCAGAATGGACCAACGCAATTAAACTCATGCTTAGGAACAAAAGAAATTATCAGAATGGCGGGCGGGTGAAGTTGAAATGTTCAAGCATGTTGTGCTTTGAATTCGAGACTTGTTCCTTTTTTTGGGCTAGACCTGGCAAGTGAAGGCATTGGTGGACACTGCTCACATTAACATCACAAGATTGGAAAAAGGTAGAGATCTTGCGACACTTGACCATTGAATCCGCAAATATGCATGTTTCCCTCCTCGCAGTCTCCGGAGCATATAAGATAGAGTAAAATAATATCTTCCTGGCTGAGTAAACACGAGAAGTGTTCAAAAGAGAGCGGTTAACCGATCTAGATGATCCATATATTTGATTTGATTGAGTCAATGATATGTGTGGATATGGCTGGGATTTAAATATCTTTAACTTACTGAAAAAGAAGGGTGGCACGGAATAAGAAGGTTATAATTCATTAGACTAGGGAAGTAAATGAAAATGTAGATAATATTAAATGAGAAGTAGAGTTGTAGTGCCAGTGAGCAAGTAGTAGTTATATTTGAAATCAAACAAGAGGGAGTGGAGGAAGATGGAGAAGAGGGAAAGGGCAAGGAGGCAGTGGCCTTGTGATGTGAGGTGAATGATCCTTTGAAAATAAGAAGTTGCAAGTTTGATTCTGCTTATAATTTTATGCCATTAGTATTACTACTCTGATCTGATTTCTTTCTACACAAAAAAAAAAAAAGAAGGAAGGAGAAAAGTCAGCAACGTAGCGTGGGGGGTGGATAAAATAAGAGCAAACCAACAAATAAATGACGATGACCACTCTCATCGCTTGAATTTTTTTTTTTAAATGAAAAAAGGAAAAGAAAGGGCTAGAATAATAATAATAATAATAGCAATTAGGGATTAGGGAGGGGAGGTTAGGCAGAGAGAAGAGAGGAGTGAAAAGTGAAAGCGATTTATGAGGAAACCGGATATCATCTGATAGTGAGGCTTAAACCACGCCCCCGTCTCCTGCCTCTCACTTCATGTCAGGCTTTTTTTCTAATTTCTGTATCATTATCGATCTCTTGCTAGCTCTCTCTCTCTCTCTCTACAATTCTTTTAAATTACCCATCAATTCACTTGCGTCTCAATATTTTCTTTGTTTTTAATTAAATAGCAATATTTTTTTTCACAAAGTCACTTACTAAGCGTTAAAAGAAAAATCATTAAATATAAAGCTTTTTAAAAAAAGTATTTTGAAACAGCATAACACTCTGAGCTATATATTATATTAAAAAAGGATATAAAGGCTTAAATATATATATTAGATTTACGATACTCGTGAATAGATCTGCTATCCTTTGTTATTGTTACCCTATGCAAAGCTCTTAATTCCACCCACTTCCACCGAATGTAGTCACCACTCGCCAGCTTCATTCAATCTCAAGCTTGTCAGTTTTATTTATACACCTCACTGAAACACAGAGCCCTTTTAACCTTGGGCTCCTCCATTGGTAAGCCCATCTTATATGTTCTTTTTTGGGTTTTGGAACCTGGCCCATTAATACTTCTCACCCATTTTAACGCGTATATATAGGTCTCATGATCAAATACTCCTCCGGTCCTTATTATAAGACCCATTTGACTTTTTATTTGGTCCTAATTATAAGACCCAATCCATTTTCTCTCTTATTTTATGTATTTTTTTCCAAGATAATCCTTCTAATAATGATAGTTTTAGCCAATATACTTAATTAGCAAGGATATTTTAGGAATGACAACACTTATTTATTATAAATAACCAACTTAACTTACTTCCTTAATCTCCTCAAATAGTCAATTGGGTCTTATAATTAGGACCGGAGGAGTAGTATATTTGAATATACCAGGCTCTATATGCAGATGCAACGAGTATAGCCAAAAAAAAAAAAGGAGGAAGGAGAGAGAGAGAGACAATGACGGTTGGATAAAGATAACATAAATAAATATAATACCATATATCAACAACAATTGGTTCAGCTGGTAAAGAGTTGACTCATAACTCATAAGGTTGTGAGTTCAAATCTCATTCCTGATGTGAGGACTTCTCGGAACCCAACACACCTAAATTTTTTCTTACCACAAAAAAATAATACCATATATCTACACGAATCCATACCAATAAAAAAATCTGTCATTCTATTTCTATACAAGTCGGTCTCATCTTTCCCTTTTTATTTATTCTATCATTTAATTTATTATAGAATTACTTCAAGAAAATCTGTTTTCTTGAGTTCTCATCCACACAAATTTTGGCTTCCGCATTAAAAGGATTTCTGAATCAATCTTCATTCTACGAACTGTTGTCGCCGACTTGGGAATGAAGTGAATGGGCATGAGAGTGCAGCCAGTCTACAGCCAATATGGGCCGAAGAACAGCCCACAAAAACCGAAACGCACACCTTTCGCGCAACGAGGACGAGGACGAGGACAGTTTTGTTGCGGGAAAAAAATAGATATTATCAAAGCCAAGGCGGTAACTGATGCCACCTTCCCTCTTCTCTCCCAGCTCAAAGCATATGCTTCTTTCTCAGGTTCTGATTCCCTCCCAGTCTCTCTCCCCCTCTCTCTGTGGCTTTACCATTTAAGCCTCTCTCTTAGGGTTTCTCCGGTTGTAATTCATTTCTACTTTCGTTCTGGCATTTCTTCTCTGTCATTGCTCACGCCTTGGTGAAGCTTGTGTTGGCTCCATACTCCAATTTGATCACATTTTTCTGTCTGACCCAAGTGACTTCTGAAGTAAAGATTTGTGTTTTTTGGGCTTAATTTCATTCTCCCGCTTTCCGTCGTGGAATTAGCTTCTGGAATCGTGTGAATTTTCGTTTTGTTTTGTCTTCGCACTCCTTTAAATTGTGCTATTTCCCTCTGACTCTGGTGGTATAGCGTCCGACGGGGAACAGATTACGACTTATTTTAATGCCCTGCTCTGTACTTTTTATGTTTGTTTATAAGTCCGTGAGATTTTCCAACGCATTTCTTAAATTACTCTTTCTTATCCTGCGTGTCGCAGCAGCCTGCTTGCTTTCTTCTTCTTTTTTTAATTCCCTATGGGTGTGGCTGTTCATGTCTCCTAAAGTAGCCTTCTATGGTTCGTTCCGTTAATTTTTGTTATGATTATGTGGACGACTGCACATGAAGTTCTGACATCCCTAAGCACAGAAGTTACTTGTTTAATCATTATTTGTGGTGCTAAGTTTTGTTATTTCTCGAAACTATCAGTGTTTAGGGATAAATAATAATTAGTTTTTTTGGGTGTACTTGTAATACTGTGGCTGTTGGTTTATTGTTTTAATCTCCGCTGTGTAAATGGTCGGTGGTTATTTTTTGATGTTTGATCAACCGTTAGGGTTTCTTTTTTGCTTTAGGGGCCTGGGTTTGTTATCGTTAGGATTTTGTATTGAAGCGAACACGCTTTCTTATGTGGAGTAATCAATACCTCCCTATAGGCAACAAGTACTGCCACAAGTTTTTCCTTCCGGTGTTTATATCTTCAATTTTACTCAGTAATGAAGTAGATTGGATTAAAGAAGCTGAATTGAAAACCTTGTTCTAGCCACAGTAAACTATGTCTGCTGTTATATATTGGTCTTGCTAAAAAGTGTTCAATAATTTGAACAACACAATATGTAGTCATAGCAGTCAGCTGCACACAAGTTCTCTCTCTCTCCCCCCTCTCCCCCCCCCCCCCAATAGCTGAATTGTATGCTAGATGAGGCCATGCATAAAAGATCAACAATTTCCAAGTTTTCGTATGCTCAAATTTTGTCCAATGGATCCAGAAAAGCACAAAGAAGTCTGGAAACCACCCTTCTTTTCGTTGAACTTCCTTCCGCAGAGATCAAACTGCCTTCAGGATGTGAGACCCTTCACATGGCTTCTTCCCCTGAATTGTGGTGGAGATTCCTCGTGGCAAAATCCTCTGGATGAGCTACTTCAAAAGCATAGCCCATAGGTTCTTGTAACTGACGCTTAGTATTCGTGGTACTTAAGGTGCCGCTCCTTGTGGGCTTCAGGTTCTTTTACCTGAAATTTATGTACCACCTAAAATCTTTTCCTAAGTGACAAAGTGAAAATGCTGATACCATGTGAGGTGTTCCTCTTCATTGAATTCCGGCACACCATCAGTGCCCTGATACTCTAAGTGTCAGCTGTTTTTGATAGGGCATCCATCAGATAATTTCTTCTTGGTTAATCAAAACCAATGTCAAGAAGGGTGATGATACTCATTGTTTCTGTTTGAGCTTACCAAAGTGCATCAGTCTGTTTGGTTTAATGTGTGTGGTTTATCAACAACTATATCTCTTGTCAACAGGTAGTGGATTGTTTACTGAGATGCTATTGTTAGACTATGTATAGGAATTTGGGTTCTGGTCATGCTTTTGTAATTCTCTTCTTCTTAAATTCTCTAAAGCTGAGTGGTCATGTGCTATTAACACCAATTCTTCTTGTTAGTCAGGATCATCAAAGTGTTTAGATATAAACAGTTAAGATCTTGTTTCTTTTTTCCCCCCAAGTTTTAGTATTGCACATTGGATTCGTATTTCTTTTCTATGTGTGATCAAGAGTAATTGAAATGGTCTGCTAGAATACGAACAATATAGGTGTTCCTATAAGGGTTCTTTATGCATTAATTCTGGCGCATCATTAAATTTTTTGATCCTTGCCCTGGTCATCTCTACATTTGTGCACACTTAACTATCCTGCTTGCTTCTCCTCCTGGTCTCATGTCCTTTGATCCACCAAGTGCTAACTATATTGTACTTGTGTTGCAGCAGTCATGGCAGATGAAACGCATAATGGTCTTGCGGCAATCATGGCAACTGAAAAACGTCATGATATGAAGGAGGGCAGTGAAGAAGTTAGTTTTTACCCCTTCATATTTATTTTATACATTGCTTTTTCTGCTGGGTGTTTCCCTGATTGGCACGAGGACATATAAAGAGGTTTTAAATTATGCTCTAGTAATTGATATTTCTCATGTTGCCTTGGATCCCAAGTCATGAGCGATGTTGATAGGTTGTTTTGACCGGAATGTTGATAGGTTGTTAGTCCACTTTATTGAAACAATGACACATTCTGTTGACTGTAATTCTAAATTGCAGATTCCTACGTCTGATCCTTTGTTTAAGGAGAAAAAGAACATTTTGATGCAAGATCTCGATGGTGGCTGCTCCACTGAGGAGCTCCGACTGCAGAATCATGCAGCTAACTCTTCTAAGGTGTGTGACACAAGGCAGAAACCTCGAAAAAAGCTCGTCAGAATTATTGTAGCTGACCCTGATGCTACTGATACTGACTCTTGCACCAGTGATGATGCGGAAAAACGTGTAACAGCACGAGGAGGGGAGAGACAAGTAACACAGATCTGCATTGATATTCCCTCAGATTCTCCTTCCTCTTTTGTCTCTACTCCTTTTCCTACCAAGGAAGAGTTCCACCTTCAGAAACCAAAGAAATCATTCAACAGTGATGACTCAGTTGGTGGCCACAAGAAGTACAGGGGTGTTCGCCGGAGGAAATGGGGTCGGTGGGCTGCTGAAATCCGAGACCCGGTGAGCCGGAAAAGGCTCTGGCTTGGAACCTTTGACACTGCGGAGGAAGCTGCATCAGAGTATGACAAGGCTGCTGTGAAGCTGAGGGGTCTTAACGCCATTACCAACTTCCCTCAGTCTGTTAAGGAGGTGAAGCCTGCTACCATCCGTGACAGCTCAAGCATCGATAGTTTTACCTCGTTCGGTGCGCTGGCATCCCCAACCTCTGTGCTGTCTTAGGATGTTGACTATGATTTCATTACGTGGGCACGGATGCCTCTGGTTTTGATTATGTAACTTATCCATGATATCCAGAGACTCTTATCAGCAATAACTACACAACTTCATCGTTAGTTTTAGGACGTGTTCGGAGGATGCCACCCTCGAGTACACGAGATGAAATGAAATCATCATCTTTGTATATATGATGCGTCTATGTATCCTCGACTTATTAGTGCCCAATCACTAACCATTAGGCTTAGCCGTTATCACTGTCGACGAAATAAATAAATACGTGTTAGCATCCTATTTTTGCCTATATTCCAAGTGATTGCTTTTAATTTCTTGTCATTTTTTAGGGGTCTGATTTCTACAACTGAAAAATGACGAGCCTCTAGTCGTCGGGATGTCTTTGGACCTTGGTGCAAAAAACTACTTTTATTTCAACTGTAATATTTTTCTATGAAAACTGTAATATTAACTATTAACTGTGTAACTTTATTTAAAAGGCATTGAAGTTCCTACTTTGAGGTTTAAGAGTGTTTAGAATTCATATTTTTATTAAATGATGCCACTTATAAGAGGAAATTGGAGAATGTGGTCAAAGTCATATCTTTTCTAGTAATTATACATTCAAAAGCAATTTTGATAAATAGCACACAAATTCTTTCAAAATTATTTTGGGAAATTCCATATGTATAGCACCAAACCAAACATGGACTTATGGTCCGTTTGGTGTGAGGGAAATGAAGCAGAAAGAAGGAGAAAAAATTTAATGAGCTCGATTTAAAAAATTAAAAAAAATAAGATTAAAAGCTTTTAACTAATTTTACTCTTTTTTTTATCTTATATCTTCTATTTATCAAAATTTTATGATCCCATTTTTTTAATTTTTTAAATTAAGCTCATTAAAAATTTTTCTTCTTTTCCTTTCTAATTCCCTCATTCCAAACATGCGGTTAGGGTTTGCCGTTTGGTTTAGGATGAAGGAAAGAAATCCCTAATTTTGTAGGGGATAAATTTTTCTCCCGTCCATATGATTTTATTTTCAATCAAGCGATTAATTGTTGGTTTTTTTAAGAATCAAGACTCTGTTTGGAACAGTTTATAAATAATTTTTCAATCATGATTTACAAAATACGAGACAAATATATAAAAATAGTTTTATCTTAATTTATGTAAAACCCGTTTATAAAAAATTGTCACTCCTATTTCGAACAGGCCTCAAATGGACTCAAATGTCTCAAGCCAAGCCCGCCGTAAAACCAAATAGGGAAAGGGAAGCAAAATCCGTTCAGTTCAATTCCCTCCCCGGCAAATCACTCTCATTTGGCCAATCAATTGAAAACGGAACCCTTTTCTCCGGTTTCGTAGCTCGGCCTCCCTGTTCACTTCAGCTCCTCAGGCTGCGAACAAGAATATAGAGCTGAAAGCAACCGAAAGACGGCGAATATCCGCTTTGTCAGAGTCCTTTTCTCCCGCTGTTTGGCTACTCTCTTCTGTTCTACGTTAGGAACTCATTGTGATCTGGTTAGTTTCTGTTTGCTTTTCTCACTCTTTCTTTTCTTGCCTTTCCTCGGTTTCGATTCAAACCAGGGCATGAATTTTTGTGGGGTTCGGGTGCAGTATCCAAGCCGCATCCCAATCGCAAATAACGTTATCCAGAACTAGACTATTCAAAGAGATAAAGTCTAGTGCTTTTGAGATGGGGATAGTTGTTCGCTTTTGCTGGCAATCTAGAAGACTTGTGTTGCGAAAAAATTTTCCTTGAATTAATTCCTTGCCATGCAAATGCTTGTGCATATTTGTTAACTGCGGTTGTGTTGTGTAAGATTGATTACTGGGTTGCTTTCTGTAGTCGACCTGGTGGTTTGAGCTTTGGTTGTTTTACATTTTAATGAAGAATATTAGGTGTTATTGCTTCCAGTAAGCAGGTTGCCAAAGTTGATGGATTAACGATCCAATTGAGCTCCTTAATTCCATGTTGATGTATGTTTTGAATTCTAATTGTTCCGTTGTTGCCACGTGCCAGGTTGATGCTTGTGCAATATTGTTGATTGCACTTGGTTGTTTCGGATTGATTGTTATGTTGTTCTTAGTCAACGTGACATTTTGACCTTTGCTCTGCGAATGTGGTTATTTAATGGTGAACTTTAGGTGTCATTGATTGTAAAAGTAGCTTGACCAAAACTGGTGGTTTTAATGATCCAAACGAGATCGTCAATGGCATGTTGAGGTATTTGGTGTGGGAAAAATGTTGTTTTGGAGATGGGGGTTGAATCCTTTGGCGAGGCACGTTGAAGCAGAAAAGTTTAAATTCTCTAAGTAGGCTAGTTATTGATAATGTTCCTTGTCTAGAATAACTTTGCAAAAGAATGATGAAACATTGATCAATGTGAAAAAGTGGGTAGAGTTGGGGAAAGCTGATATGAGTGTATACTGCCTTGTTTTATATTCTTTTGATGTCTTCTACTTATATATTAATCAAATTTCGCTCATTCAATTGAAAACCTTAAGTTATTTACCAATAAACATGAAAGAAATAGACTTTCATAACTGATAGCTACAATTAACAAGAACCTATCCTACTGGAACTCCTAATATATTAGGAGTTATTTTATAGGATTAAGAGTTTATCATCATCTTTAGTCTGATTTGTTCTTATATTTAAGAATTTGATCTTGTAGTTAATGAATATCTTTTTCTGTTACAAATAAGAGGAGAAAGGCTGATATTGTAAGGTGAGTGCGAACGTCACGAGCTTTCTAAATCTGGGCTTTGAGGTTTTTGTCTTGTCAGTGTAGAAGACTCTAAAGGGCCGTGTCTTTTTATTTTTACATTTGGGTTGTATGTGAAAGTTCTCACAATTGTACTACACATAATGTGTAGCTTTATTTTCACTCCAATGACAAAGAAGAGTTCTAAAAAGACCCCACGTCCTGCTGTGGAAGAGCAAAAACCATCTTCAGCACAGAAGAAACAAGGCAGCGAGATTGATGAGATATTTGCAGGAAAGAAAAGGAAGAAATCTGAAGTAGAAAAAACTGAAAAATCTGAAGATGTAACTAAGAGACCTAAGAAAACAAAGAAGAATGTGAAGAACAAAACCAAAAGGTCAGATGCTGGAGACTTTGCAGGTCCACCTTCTCGACCTAGAAAGACAACAGAGGATGGACTTGCCATCTATACTGAAGACGAGTTGGGCATTGACAAAGCAGATGCTGGGAACACCCCACTCTGTCCATTCGATTGCTCCTGTTGCTTTTGATGGTAGCAATCATGATTTTCCTCTGATATTTGGTAATACATTTTTGGATCTATACGCCAGGGCCTTGGCAGTCTGGCGCACAGCTTTTAGACCTGAACCAAATTTCTTGATTACTTCTAAGATGAGCTTGACCTTTTTAATTATAGTTCTAGATGTGATTTCTATTAAAATTATGTAGTGTATTAATTGTTATTTTATTATTAACAAGAAGATATTTGGGTGCTTCAATCCTGTGACAATGTGGATCTGTTGTATTTTTAAAAGTTTACATGATTATACCATACCTGTCGGTTTCAAGTGCTTTTGCAATTCTGTGACTTCTAACCTATTTGCCCCATGAAACCACAATTTGTGTTTGTTCTCATGCAACTAACAGTCTAAGACGCTATGTGACGAATAGTATAATGATGGTGTTGAGAAGATCCTTGTTCATAGTTGCATGATGCTTCTTGGACCTCACTACTCTTGATCTACCTTGTGTCTTTACATACTCAAGCTATTTGGAAAAATAATGGCTCTTCAACGAATGCATATTAATATGATAGTAACATGCTGCATGATTTTCCATGGTATGTTCATACTTTATTGGAGCAAACTGAGCCAACAGCCGAATTTATGTGAAATGGTCTGGTGACGTTCATAATATGGTGGCCAGCGGACAGGAAAAGTAAGAGCAATTCCAGCTTACTAATTAATTTCGTCCCTTTTTTTCTCTCCCAAGAAAATGAAAGGTCATTACGATTTTGATTTATAAAAAGAATAGTTGATTGAGAAACAACTGAAAATTAAAGAGACTCCTGAATTTTGAATCAACCATCTAACTGCTACGGCTTTCAAATCAACTAAAAACTAATTTGTTGGTGCAAATGAAGTCTCGGAATTAGAAATATATGGTAATGAACTCTTTTCTCAGGAGTCACGCGCATGTCGAGAAATAAAAAAAGCTTACAAATAAAGGTGGAAAAGATTATGTTGTGTGGATTTTGGGCACAATGAAAGTGGAGATTATTTGAGAAGTAATTATTGGTAGACAGGTAGTCAAGATCAAGCAATGGGATATAAATATCAAATAAATGAAGCTATAAAGGTATATGAGTATGTAAACGATGTGTAGTCCCCTTCTCTTGAAAACAAGTTTTCGTTTTCTCTCCCACTCAGTCTCAAAACAGGAAAGGAACATGACCTCCTTTTCCCATTTCCATCGTAATCATTAAATTAAAGAACGATAGAAATATCAGTTCAGGAAAATTTTAACTATAGCTAAAGAGTTTTGTCTTTATTTTTTAAATCGCAAATTTTCAAAATACTTTACTGTTCTTAGAGAGTCCGTGAACGTCAGTTCCCCTTTTTAATTCATACAATAGAATGATACCACTTTAATTAATAAGTTATCATACGGTCAAATTTGCATCAAGTGTGCAGATTTCCTCGTAAAAGATGCTCATCATATAAATGATGAAAATGCTCATATTGATGACACCTCATCCTGGATGTATGCGTTTTCTGGACGAGGATTTTCGTCTTGCTTTTAGCTGATGCAACCTCAAGGGTGTAATCTTCTCTCAAGTTTTTAACTTGCCTTTGTAACTTAAAAAAAAAAAATTATACGGTCAAATTAATAAAAATTATACCATCCACAAGTTAAATAATTTTTTTAAAAAAATCAAATAACCAAAGTCATATTAGATTCAAACTTAAAATTAATAATTAAGGTGCATAGCTCCCTACTATTAGCCAAGCTAACATGTTTGCTGGTTATAAGTCAGACAATTTTTTTCCTATGAAACACGGCTCCCGAGGTTCATAGGATACGAAGATAAAGAGCTTACCCTTTTCTTTAAAAAAAAAAAAGAAAAGAAAATATTAGCTTGTCTGGTTAGGCTACACGTTTCCTCTGTCTGACTTTTGAACGGAAGATATCTTCAGATTTGCGCGGTTTAGAATGGCTCCCCACGCCCAAAAAGGAAAATTATTTATATATATATATATATAAATAAAAAGAACAAAAATCAAAACGGACGGCACATTCCTCCTGCCCAATTTTTTTAATGATGCTGCATTTCCTTCCTATTTAATTTAAAAATTAAAATCAATATTAAGGTACGTATGTTTCATTCTTTTAGTTTTTTTCTATAAAAAAATATAGTGGTTAAAAGTTTCATTTACTCATTAAAGTTATAATTTTTATTTGACATTGTATTGAGTTTTTTTTAAACATGTAATTATTCTATTACTTTATGTTTGCATCAAATTGGAAAAAAGTGTTATTGTGCTTAATGGTAAATACTAATAGCTAAGGTTATATTTAGATTAGATTAATTTTTAATATAAATCAGAGAATATAAATTCATGTTAGAACAAAACAAAATTATAGTTTAAACTTTATTAATTATTATTTGAAAATATATAATTTAAATTTAAGCGCTTAACTGTTTAATTGTGGAGCGCAAAATAGGAGACAGAAGTGAAAAGTTTGACTAGCAGACGAAACGTGCCTAAGCTTTGCATGTGTGGCCCTTAAATTGGGAACCCACTTTCTTCCTTTCTTTCTTGGACTCTCTCTCTTTCACTCGGGAACTCTTCCCTTCTTCTCCTCCCTCCCTTCTGGCCATCGGGAATCGGCCGGAACTGTTTCCTCCGTCTTCACGGTCGCCGCGTAACCGATCTTCCTATCAAAGTAAGTGAACTCTGTGTTTCGTTCTTCCTGCTATTGCGAACTAGTCTGACTACTCCTCTTCCTTCTGGATTTGTTGAAGATGAATTCGATTTTTTTTTTTGTGCGGAGAACCCAGTTCTGTGATTGATTTCCATTCTTGGATTCTCTTTTTGTATGGATATATGTTGAGTTATTGGAATTTAGGATGGCTTTTTTGTCTTCAGCACCCATTCTATTGAATTTATTCTCAACGCTATAGAGGTTAGGAGAATATCAACAAGAGCAGGTAGGCTTGTCTGGTATCAATCTTACTGTACATTTTTTTTAAAAAAAAATATTTTGGTGAACTTTTTATTTCAAAATTTGAGGGTGAGTATGCCAGCGCATTTGTGGATTATTACAGTATCGCGCTTCTCGCGGCAGAGGGTTCTCCTAATGTCTCCATTTGTCCCCCCAGTGACACCGAATTTGTTTTCGTCCTCTTGAACCATGATTATCTTTTTAGAATCAGGGTATAGTAAGGAATTTGATTTTTTTTTTTTTTTAATTTGATGGCTAGTAAAATTTTGTCGGAGTCCCGTAGATGTTAAGAAAAATAACAAAAAATTAATGGAAGGCGGTTACAGCACAGATGTTTACGCGTGGCGATAGCTGGGCGCCTAGTTCGCCAGTTGTCCTCTGATGCGGCTGCATAATTAGTCAATTTCTGCCACCGCTTTTAAATTTCTCCGCGCGCTTCTCAGGCGCGTCCATTCACGCTCCTTTCTGAAGGAAAAAAATTGTACGCAATAATAACCTCTTTAACTAAATAAAATATCCAATTCATATATAGTATCATAGGATACTTCCACTCCACGCATTCAAGTTATTCGCTCCCTCCAAAAGAAAAAAGAAAGAAAGAAAATCTCTCGTGTCTTGTTCTGTGACTGTGAGTTCGTATCAAATTTATGCGTCTCAGCATTAATTCGTGGATTTCATCATGTGCAGGGTTTTTTGTTGCATACGTCAGGCTATATTGATATCAGATATTTGGTCAAATAGTACGGGAAGAAGCAGATGGCTGCTTCTGGGGTAAGAGATGAAACTTGACTCTCTACGCATTTATTGCTATCCTTTATGACATTTGCAGGTTATCAAGGCAGATGCAGTTTTTCCCCATGCCTTATAATATTAGTGTTCAAAGTCTCATAACTGAACTGGGATTGCCTTTTGTGAGGGCATGGGCAAATAATTTCAATTTTTTTTCTTTTTGGTTACAACAGAAGCAAGAAAGACAAAACTACTATCCGCCGCGGAAAATAATTTCAATTTTCGAACGAGAAAGAAAAAGCATTTATAGATGGGGTTATTCAGTCAATTGACCGCCCATATATCTGACTACCTTCGGTTACTAATATAAAATTCACTTTGTTGAATGGATAGCTACAGCCCTACCTAACGTTTTCCACGTTGAAAGTGTTGAAAATAATTACTATTAATTTACAAGTATATGATGCTCCTTTCCCGCCTTTTTTCATTGGATTTGTTTCAGATGACTTCGTACTACCAGCTGACTCTCTTCCTTAGTTCAGACATAATTGTGCTGAGTTCTTTTTTCAGATCACCACTAATAAACAAATGAAGAGGGTGGAACCAAAAAAGTCACATTCCTGGTGGTGGGACAGTCACATAAGTCCCAAGAACTCTAAATGGCTAGCTGAAAATCTTGAAGGTAAACAACTATAAGTGCAATTGAACTCTTATGCTTGACTTTCTCTTTCCGTTGTTATAACTATCAAATTGAAGGAAAGCAAACCTAAACAAGGAATGCAACTTCAGATCATGCTCTGAGAGTATCATAGGATACCTCTTTTGGATAGGTCAAAACTTGCTTTAAAAAACATACCATTGAGGATACATGAATTAAGTCAACTGTTGATAACTGATTGAGAATCAGAAGAGTCTCTCTTCCTTTCGGGATCAGATGTATTGGTAGTCAACAAATGTTCGTACAACTGGAATTTAAATTACAAGTTTATATCACCTTACTAATCTCATACTTTTTGGAGGTTCTAGCTTAGATATATGGAAGGGCTGCTGATATGGTAGAAGGGTAAATTACCCTGTCCACATTCCACAAGTTTTTCCAAAATTACACTGCCCATCTTTTGAAAATTTACACAAAATTCTCTTCAAAATATAAGATGACCGAAATACCCTCCAGAATTTTGATTTATGTAAATATTAATTCTAATTTTCCTTTTATAGTAGGGATGTCAATGTAGCAAATCATATGATTTAAAGGAGAAGAGTGTAATTTTTCAGAACAAATCAGAAGGTTCCATAATCTGGACATCTCTTAGGAGAGGAGAAACTAATTTACACTGTTAGGTTTATTTAAAAGGAAATTACATTATGGAGTTAAGAAAACAAAGCTTCACTACCAACTAAAGCAATTCTCTATATTTTTATTTTTTAGTAGATTGATTTTGGTTTATCTAACTATCGGGAGCCCAATTTTGTTTGTAATTATGTTTTTAACTTTTTTTTTGGGTCCATTTGTTACTTGTTGATGGTTTTGTCCTATAATGATGCCCATCGTTTACCTTTTACTTCCATGTAACAAACCAAGTCCAGGTTGAAGTCGACAAAGTCCCTTTTTATTTTTTTTTTGCGTGTGTGGGTGTATCCTTTTAACGACATTTGTTGCTCCTGTACTGGCTAATTAGCTTTTAAGCCGTCAAAGTTGGGATCTCTGTTAGGCATCTAAAGGAGGGAAGGTTAATAATATGAGTAAAGAAATTGATATTTGGTGTAATCTACTCAAGTAGTTTCTCGTTCCCAACTTCCCTGCAGTTGGAGAGGGATTAGATAATATCATGTCGTGTATTTTAAACCGCGCAGTAATTTTATTCCGCTAGTTTTCAACACAATGGCCTTCAAGAAAAAGATTAAACGATCTTTCATTACAGAAATGGATCAGAATGTGAAGCGAATGTTGAAGCTGATTGAAGATGATGGAGATTCATTTGCAAAAAAGGCTGAGATGTACTATCAGAAGAGGCCTGAATTAGTTTCTCTTGTAGAGGAATTCTATCGTATGTACCGTTCTCTGGCTGAACGATATGATAATGTAACGGGAGAATTGCGAAAGAATATACCTTCTGAACTTCAATCCCAAGGCTCAGGTATATCAGATGTCGGATCTGAACCACCCTCTTTTTGGCCCACCCCCAAAAAGGTGGGCCGTCGTATATCTGCCAACCGGGCTGCTGGGTTTGACGTCTTCCTTGGTTCTGGTGGGAATGGCTCTGATGCTTGCCAAAAAGAAGGAGATGAATCATCTACGTTAACAGACTCTGAGGAGGAATCTGATTGTTCTTCGGTTAACAATTACTCCATTTTCTCGGGGAATGGTAGTGATAATGGGCTAAACAGAAAGATACTTGACTTGGAAATCGAGCTTCGTGAGGTTAAGGAAAAGCTCTGGATGCAAGAAGAGGAGAATTCAGAGGTGTCATCTGGGGGGCCAAGAAACGAGAACATTGAAGCTATTCATGGTAAAATTAATGGGCACGAAGAAGAATTAAGGATTGTAAATGAAAAGCTAAGGCTTTCGAGGGAAGAAATAACTAAACTGAAGACTGAGCTTGAAAAATACAGGTCCTCAGAAGCATCGAGTTTGCATGCTTCTGGCAGTTTAACTCCAAGTGAAGACGACATCCAGACAGGAGGGTCAGTCCCGAAAATATCAGAGTCTTTGGAGGAGCTGGAATTGTTGGAAACAGATGGTAAGATTAAGTCACTAAAGGAGGAGCTAAGAATCACCAAACAAAAACTTGCGGATTCAGAAAAGCAAGTTGCTTCATTGAAATTTGAGGGCGATAAATTCTCTGAAAGGATTCAGAAAGTTCAGGATCAGCTTGACTTGGCCCGTAAAGATGCTACTGCTTGGAAAACTAAATTCAATTCTGAGAAGAGAGAAAGCACCAAACTCCAAGAAAGACTCATGAGGTTAAAATCTAGTCTCACTGACCGTGATCATGAGGTCAGGGATTTAAAAACAGCTGTATCTGATGCAGAGCAGAAAATCTTCCCTGAGAAAGCGCAGATAAAGTCTCAAATGTCCAAATTGCTTGAGGAACGGAGCTCATTGGAATCCCAGGTTCGGGAATTGGAAAGCCGAGTTCGTCTCTTGGAAGATGAGATTAGAACGATCAACACCGTAAAAAGGGAGAAGGAGGAAACATTTAAGGGTGAATTAGAGCTGCTAAAGATCGACATAAGAGAAAGAGAGGCCACTATAAAAGATCTCAAAATAACCGCCGACGCTTTAAAATTAGAGACAGAGAATCTTAACGCAGAAGTTTCTGCTCTCAAGGAAGATCTGAACACCAGGGATCATCAAATCCAAGAACTCGATAACGAGTTGAAGCAGCTCCACCTGGAACAAGCGCAACTGATTGCTGAAACGGAGGAGCTAAAATCAAGAGCGAAGAAACTGGAGGAAGAGGTTGAGAGACAGAAAACTGAGATCATAGAGGGAGCAGAAGAGAAACGAGAGGCCATAAGACAGCTTTGCTTGTCAATTGAGCACTACAGAGATGGGTATTATATGCTAAGGCAGGCTTTCAGAGGGCACAAGCGAATTCCAGTATTGGCCTAAGGTATGTCTGCATGTGATGTTGTAAATGAACGAGTAACCTTTGTATTATTTCTCTGGAGTGTGTTGTTATGACCCGGGGGTAAGTGTGACCCAACGTCCATGAGAAGGGAGAGCCGTGCTTTCATGGTGTCATTGGGATAAAGTTAGGTAGGGAGTTGAGGAAGAGAATCCTTTCGCGAGTGCTCGTAATAGAAGAGATTGAGGAATTGCCTATAATTATTGTTGACCAGGAAAATGTGTGATGTTTTATCCCAGTCTGGTCTGAAGTAGGGTTTTTTGGTGTAATATTTATTAAAATTCTGTCAGAATATGGTTTCATGTTCATCACGATGATGGTAAACGTTGAAAAATTCTCAGTTATCTTGTAGCTGTAGGTTCAAATGCAAAAGTCTTGTGCTTTCTTTTGTTACCTGTACTCTTATATATAATGAGGTCCTCCAATTGTTCATTGCGAGCGCATCAACCCGAAGACCAAAATGCATCTGCGCTAACTAGGAATGGCTTTTGGTGTTTGATTGTCCCGAATTTTGAATACGAAAAACAGAAACACCCCGTTTCATAAAAATGCAAAGTCGCGCGCCAGGTAGGGGTCGAACCTACGACTTTCTGCTTAGGAAACAGACGCTCTATCCACTGAGCTACAGGCGCTTGTTATTGCTCATTTGACCTAGCTTTCCTAATTTACACTTGAAACGGTTTCTTGAGGGTCTTGATTCATCATGTTCCTTTGCTATTAGTCATGACATTGCTATAAAAATGAGTTATATGTGTTTATATATATTTGTATTAGAGCAATCTTATGAATTTAATTATTTTTAATAATATGCAATTGATCGTTAAATTTCAAAAATAAAAAGTACTACAAAGTTCTGATTTATGATGACCAAAAATAAAAAGTCATGCATAGTTAACAACAATGATGTAAATATTTTAAGTAATTTTTACAAATTTATAAATTGTATGGATTTCATAAAAATGAATACTAATATATATATATATATATATATTTCATTTTAGAGTAATAATTATAAGAGCCTGTTAGCGTAGATGCACAAAATACTTGAATTTAAAAAGAACAACTATGAAAAAGAAAAGACTCTTTCAAAACAACAGTTACTTCTTTGTCCAAATAAATAAATAATACCAAGTAATTTGATGGTAATAATCGATTTTGTTTATACATATATGTATATGTATATGTGTATAACTGTGGTTCTATAGTTGAAAAAGGAAAAGAAGATTTATACATATAATGTAAAATTCAGGAAAAGAATAGTTTGTTGAATTTTCGTTGGAGAATCATCTATGAAGATTTTGCTTGACTGTATTTTATCCTTCCTTTCCGTTGGTCACATATGACCTAATCTTTAGGAAATCAACTGTAAATATTTGTATTAATCTTCGTAGACATCAAAGTCAGATGAGAATATATTATCTTTAATTCTCCTGATCACCTTCCAATTACCAGATATATATATAGAGGGGGGGGGAGAGAGAGAGAGAGAGAAGCCAAACGTGTTACATAATAACATAAATGTCAATTAGCCCGAGAAATTTAAAATAGGAAACAGAATCAATGCAAGATATTGGAGTTCTCGAAATAAAAAAGGTAAGATATATAGAGCTTTATTTAAAAAAAAAAAATCAGGAAAAAAAAAAGTAATAATCCCGCTGTAAATAACTCTATAGGAGACAACAACAGAAGCTGAACTACTAATCGTCAAAATACGCCACACATAAAGATTCCAAAGCAAATCACTACATAATAAATTCAAAAGGAAAATTTGGCGATATATATATATATGGACGAAGCAGTCACAGAAGAAATTTGTGGAGAATAATTAAAAACGAAAGACGATGAGGACGATCATGATGATGACAGTGGAAACTGGAAGAAGCACAAAGTTAACGACCTTCGCTCCAAAATAAACCAAAGTGATGAATATGATCAGCATAGCCACTACGTGCCCTGCAAAATCGCCCCTTGGAGCATCGCTTGTCTCTAACCTCACTTCTTCTTTTGTTTCGTCTCCTCCACCACTGTCTCTCTCTGTTGAACCAATGATATTTCCAGACGTCGTCAAGCCTGCACATAATCAATACCCAAACCTCAAATGCACAATCTAATTATATTACACAATCAATGAATATAACCCATAGATATCTGCAGAAAACCACGGGATAGAGTATGTGGAAAGCGCTTACGAATAGTGGGGTTCGCTGAAGAATTGTGAGGAACGCAGAAGTTGGTGGAGGAGTCATCGGAAGGAGAGTGTGTCGCCGCCGTGTGAAGCCGTGGAAGAGAAGAAGCTGCAAACTCACAGGATACGAACGCCATTAATGTTGTTATCGTCAAGAGGATGGAAAGCAGGAGGAGGGAGCTATTCACGACTGCCATGGCCTGGCTGCTTCACCTCCCCACCCAACCAGCAAAGGATACGTTATTTTTGAGCGGAAACTGATTGCCTGTCATTATTGTCTGTGATTGATTTATAGAATACCTAGTGTTTACCCTCCCTACTTTCTATATTTACTTCCTCCGTTTTAAATTACCTGTCACAAGAAAAAATTCATTAAAGAGTACTAGATTTTGTAAAAAAATTAACCTGTTGCTTTCCTAAAATACTCTTACCTTTTTAAAATAAATATTACTTCCATTTTTTTGTCAACAAATATTACTTCTAATATATTGCATTCTTGGAATCTAAAATTAATAAGAAGCAAACGAAGAAATAAAAAATTTAACGTATTCTTGAAATTTAAAATTGGCAAGTATTATCAAATATGAAAATTGATATTAAACACAAAAATTGGCTTGAATCATTATAATAAAATAATAGTCTCTAAACCTTTTACCGTTATGTGTCCACTTCAATTCTTTGGTAGTGTTACATTAAAGATATAATTGTATAAACATTACTCTTTGGCAAATCATTCTAATACAATTAACTAATTCATATTCCATCCAATATGAAAATCATCTACGCTCCTTATATTTTTTGAGTTAAATTCAATTACTTTTTGTAGTTTTACATTTTTTGGGTCACTGACCCACAGGACAGTGCCCGTTGGCTTCGCGTGCAAGGAGGCAAATGAAAATTATATGCGCGCTTAATCAGATTTTGATTTTGTTGAAACTATAGGAGCTAGCAAATTTATTTTCCCTACAAAAATTATATTAGACCTCAACTCGTAAGATCGAGCTAGATCAATGGGTGATCAAATATTATCTTATTTTAATTTAATTTAATTTTTATTTAATAAAAGGTTGGTATATTATGAGTAATCAATTATTCGCTATTAATGATAATTCAATGTAGCTTGAGCTGTTCCATATTTATTTTATTTGGAGTATACAATTGGCTTCTTTTATTAGCCAGCCTACACAATTGTCGGAAAAGCATCGTTTTCACTTGAAACTTGTTCTCTCCGTCCAATTATAATAATTTTGATGACATGAGGCACAAATAACGTCTTCCATATCACCATAGAATACATTCAATCCGCCATCCTAAGTATATGAATTTCTCTCCCCATCTCTTTTTTTTTCCCCGCCAACGATTTCTCTCCCCATCTTTTCATTAGCTGTATGTAAATATTTCACGTTAGTGACTACATTGAAGTGAAATAAAATTAATATACATTACTTACATTTATATGGAATATAGACACACACCAATTAATGACCAGAGATTTTTGAGGGAAAAAATTCAAAAACGTATTGACACTCCTATTATTTATACCCTTGCAATCGCCCAGGTAAAGGACTAAAGAATGTAAGCAACTTCCTTTGCGAAGATTAGAAGGAAAAAAAAACCGTCTCATTATGAGGAATAGCACATTTTGTAAGCGTTCTATGATGAGACAGATTGATGTCGGTTGCAGGAGTGGAACACATGAAGGTGGATATACAATGATGTTGGACTGAGTACCTGTCTAAGTCTCTCCTTTTTTCCCCCCAGTGCAATGCAATTTGAAAGAAAAGAGAACTTGCGTTTGTGCGGACACAAGATGCATAACCTATGCCAGCTCTACAAAGTCTAGGCGTCTATCTAGCAAGCTACGCTTTGCTAATAGCCTGTTACAAGGGTGTAAAAGGTCAACACAAACAGACTCCCAACTTCCAGAGAAACTAGTTCATCCATCAATAGCATCCTCGCTGTCGTTCCGCCCCAAGTCTCTGACAAAACCAACCTGGATCATCCATGGGTCCCGTCCAACTCCTCAAGCTAGACCCACAATATCAATGCACAGCAACAATTTCAACAGTCTCTACCATATATACGCATATAACGAGAAGGGAATAAAATCATGGAGGATCACTGGGGGGGGGGGGTTAGAAAAGCTTACAGCAAATCTAAATACGCATGAGTAACCCAACCCTCACCGCCAGAAAATATACTCAGCAAGAGAAGGGGCTTAAAAACACTGCTAGTTACGAACCTTGGAGCTTTTGGAAAGTTCCATCAATTAACTGAGGGGCGTCAAACATAGTTTTCAATCATCCCAAGCACTATCTGCTGCACCCTCTCTTTTGTTATTTGACGCCGTAATCATGAACCTATACTTATCCTCAATAGCAATTGAGGCGTTTCCAAAAGCTAAGTTCTTGGACAGAGCTATCTTTGCCTCCTTTTGGGCAGCCGCCGCCTCCTTCTCCTTCCTTCTAGCAACCTAGAAGCAAATGACGAAGTTTCACTATAGCAGTAGCCATGAAGCATGAGGATAAACAATGCATCATGGAGAAAAAATATATACCTTCCCAGTTGCAAAAGCCACAGCGTTCCCAGACTCAGCATCAGCTATAGCCTTCCTTATATTTGCAACAAGGAACTAGAGACCAAAATCGTGTTAGTGCTAAAATCAAGCAGATCTAAGAACAAGTCGAAATAGAAGAGGACAGCAAGCACCATATCACGATCAGTGTAAAAAGAAGTCGCCTGGCCTGTTGATCCTGCACGCCCTGTCCTGCCAATCCGGTGCACATAATCTTCCATGGTCTATAATTAAAGCAGCCATAACTGAAGGAAATTAAATTTGACAGAAAAATACCAGGCTAACAAAAACCCAACGTAGCAATAGCAGAATGGCAATCCTCAATGAGAGGCTCCCAGGAATTCTTTCAGATAAACTTTTCTTCTTGGACATCAGGCAACATTACTGATCAAGTAAATTTGAATTGTGGCAGAAATACCTTTGGAAGATCTAAATTGATGACATGTGACACTCCTGTGACATCCAAGCCACGAGATGCAACATCAGTGGCAACCTGCATAAATTGATCCCAATGAGGAACACGGAAAGTGAGGAAAAGGTCCCAAATTTAAAGCAGACTTACATGCGAAAAAGAGAGGCACAATATCAAAAATTCCCCATGTTAAGCTGACATAGTAGGCATACTAGCATTAGGCATTCGCAGAATGGAATGGAAAAGTAATATTGTGAATGAGAAATGCCTTGTGTACCTTATTCTTTTAAAAATAAAAGATAGTTACTTTATAGTAATTATGACAGCAGTATAATAAATATTGTAGACCTTGTTTTTTCATGTGATAAAAAAGAAACGATTTTCCAACCACCAAAACGAACAGCCTCTTGCCGCTTTTTGTAGATAGAGGGAATCACAATGTCCTGATAAAGTATAATAACCATGTTTCAGAGTTAAGAGTTAGGATAGGAAAGGTTACCAAAATGTTAGTGGAGCCACTTCGAAAATCATGCAAAGCAGACTCTCTTTCACTTTGACTACGGCCACCATGAAGAGAAACAGCAGATAAACCTTGGGCTACCAATGCTTCAGCAATTTCATCACACCTTGTCTACAAGAAGAAAACAATTAACGATGATGAAAGATAGAAATGCAGCCACTACCCAGAGACAGACTCAGAGATTCCAAAAAAATTTTTTAAAAAAATAACAAACCTTTCTTTCCACAAACACAATTGTTAATGGAAATGGACGACTGCATTTTTCAGCCTGTGACGCCTCCTCAACAAGCATATCCAGAAGCCGATCAATCTACAAATGTTATAATTTAAGAGCAGAAACCAAAAATGAAATAAGACCAGGACAATAAAAGAGGAAAACTATAAAAACAAAAAATACAAATTCAAGAAAATGACATATTTGAAATTTGATTACAAAAAACAGACATCCACGACAATGAACCTCATGGGGAAAATACTCGGAAAATATGATGGGCAATAATCTAGTAAGCTAAATAAGCAGCTCTTAATCAAGCCTCTAACAAATAAAATATCAATTCATACCTTCTCATTTTCAGAAACCTTCACAAGAGTTTGACAAACGTTTGCTGTTGGGCTACTCACTTTCCCTACGTTCACTTGCACCGGGCTTGCTAAGTACTCCTGAAAGTAAAGAATAGGAAGGTAAACTTAATAAAGGTTCTCACACAACCGAACTGAAAGAGAATATGTTGGTAACAAATAACAATGATCCCAGAGGTTCTTTATGATGCTTAAGAAGCCGTTCAACCATCAAATAGAAATTAAGAAGGTCGCAAGTCATTCAAAACAGGGGTCACAAACAGCTTAGTGAAATTAACAAATTGGTCAGAAGCATAAATTGTATACCGAAGATTATTTTTATTTCTCTCAGCAATAGCACACCGAAAGTCTCCTTAACATCAGAAAGTAAAAGTTCCCTACTTTTTCATCATAGCTCAGAGATAAACAAATGTAAAAGATGACACCTGACCTTTGCTAATCCTTCAATCTCCACAGGCATAGTTGCACTAAATAACAATGTTTGATGCTTCTCTGGAAGATTTCTCATGACCTGAAGAAACATTAGAAAGTTTATATTTTGTTCAGCAGTCTAGATACTAGATATGCATATTCTAACACATTAGTGTGGGACAATTACTTATTGTTGATAACTCATTCACAAAAGATCAAATTGTCGAGCAACGTGCATTGTGATAAAAGAGATGAATTAAGTTTCAACTCAATAATAAAAAATTGTTTTAAATGGTGAATATTAAATTAGAGGAAGAACATTCCGGCCAAAAAAAATTTAAAAAAAAAAAAACAGAGGGGGGAAAACCAACGTGGAAAAAATGGAATCTAGCAAATCATAAACACAAGTACCAGAATGGAACGGGAATAATTGAAATCAAAGCACCAACAAATTATAATGTCTTTTATGCCTTTGTTATCATTATTCAAACAGTGTTTATCATTTTCTAATATTTTTATGCAGGATAAAAAAGTCATTTTCCATTTTATCATCCACATTCTTACTTTACTTCCCTTCCCTCTCAACTCCTAAAATTCTGCATACAAACATAGCTTCAAGACATAAAATCAACTCATCAATCATACATTTGAAACTGAATTGTTATCAAAATGAAGGGAATAACCGAGGGAGAAACTTCACACCACTGACCTCTCTTATCTGGGGTTCAAAACCCATATCAAGCATCCTATCTGCCTCATCTAGAACAACAAAAGAAATTCTAGAAAGCGAAGTATTTCCTTGTTGTAAATGATCGATGAATCTTCCCGGGGTAGCAACCACTATGTCAACTCCTGCTCGTAGCTCAGATCTCTATCATATTGATAAGATACAAATAAACCCCCCAAAAATACGTTACTTCAAAGTGTAGGAAGATTAAAAAATAAAAAGCGCTTAAGAACTCAACATCTCATAAATGTTTCAATTCGTAGTAAAATAACTATATCAAACCATTGGCAACATTTTCGCCAGGGTTAGATTGCATGGATAGAATATCATTATATAACATTATAAAATTACAAATATAAATTATAAAATACTAAGATAACATCACCAATGCATACATTTAGAGTTTTAATATACAAAAAACTTTAGCTAGCATAGGCATAAAAATACAGAAATATGACTCAACATTTAGTCACCTGCTTTTCAATGTTAGTTCCCCCTACAACTATTGCAGTTTTTAATGACTCAAGTGATCTGCTAAAAGCTTTAACCTGCAAAATTTCAAGAATGCCTCAGAATAATCTTATGATTACAACAAAGTAAGTGAATAGTGGGAAAAGATTACCAAAAAAATAAATGAATCAGTAAAGCTCTTAGATCAGGCACAACAAAAGAATTTAGATAAGAAATATAGAAATAATCTTGTGTTCAAGGAACAAAAAATCTTCGTATAGATAAAACTCCCATATTGGTGCAGGAAGATACATATAACTCGTGAGACTCAAATGCAAAACAACAGCCACTTTTCCAAAAACTTAAGCATAGAGTAAAATTATTCCAATAGGGCAAACCATAACATAAGAAACTTTATTAATAAATCATCATAGTTCGATTCAATGAAATAATGATTCAGTATTACAAAAAGGTTAAAAATACGTGTCTCAAGAACCATGCATGCATCAAGGTAAGAGTAAAAATTAACAAATAGTTACAAATTCAAATATAAGGCATATAAACATACCTATAAACTGGAAAGGATTTCATCCCTAGACATTTAGATAGCCTATTTATATAGACCCAGAATTTAAAGCATCACCTCTTTCTCTATTTGTTGAGCAAGCTCTCTAGTAGGGGCCAAAACCAATGCTAAAGGACCATCACCACGCCGAATCGGTGGTTGAGCCAAGCAATGCTACAAAATAAAACAGGAATGGAATTGAGTCACAGGATAAGGATGGTCACTTAATTTGTTATTCGTTCGATTGCCACCACTTGGTATCTAAGGAAAACAATACGAAATTAGATAAACATTCCAAGTATAATGAGCTTAGACCTCTATCATGGGAATCGTGAAAGCTGCAGTTTTTCCACTGCCAGTTTCAGCACAACCCAATAGATCCCTTCCACTAAGAGCAATTGGCATGGCTTGTGCCTGGATAGAAGTTGGCCTTGTGTATTCATGATAAGCAATATCCTTCATGATACTTGGGTTCAAGCACTGTAAATTAATGAGTCCATAGTTTTTCATTTATTTTCCATAATGACTGAAAATCGAATACAAGAAATGTGGATCGGGTTTATAAAATTAGCTACCATGTCTGAAAATGATTCTATTGGTGCAGGTGCAGGAAGAGAGTCAGAAGCAACAGAAACATCGAGATTAAGCCGCAATCGAACCTCTTCAATCTGCAAATGAGAAGCACGTAGTCTGTGGAATTTAGCAACCCAATAATTGTTTATGTGATTAAAACTGATTGAGAAGAGGTAGAAAATAGAAAAAGAACAATGAATAAAGCAATAAACATATGAAGTTCAAAGACAATACAAAGAAAAGGTAGATAGTTGTACTTCAAAAGAAATAACAAATGCTATGTGATAGCTTCTACAAAGGTGACCGAAGAGAGACAGACCAGAAAAAAGATGAAAAAAGGGAGGACAACTCATCAATATTGTAAAACATCAACAACTGCTCCCAAGAAAACATAAGATTGAAAGCGAACTACATTATTCGTAATAGCCATTGTTGCGTGGCATTAACAATCAGCCCATTGCATACCAAAAAGGATCCTTATGATTAACAAAAACAATTTCGCTGATGCATGCCACTTCAATTCTAGTATAATTTACTCCACTGACAGCATGGAAACACCATACACTACTATCCAACTCTTCGAACTACAAACGAAGAGGAATTTTTTTTCTTCATGTTATCTGGAAAACACATTTTACAAAGCGTCACAGCCAAAAAAGGGCTAGTAAAGGAGGAAAATAGCGTATGCCAAGAAACTTGAAGTAACCAGTGACAACAGAAATGAAACACAGGAAATCGAGAAAACCTCAAAAACCCTAAACACAAGTTCAAACACACACATTGCTCCCAAATGATCGAAACTCGAGCATCTAGGTCGAAGAAGGAATAAGAAAGAGCCATCGGTGAAACAACAGAAAAAGAAACCTGCTCGGGCTTCATACGAGAAACGCGTTCGGACGGCTGCCAGTGAGGGAACACAGGGTCGGGGACGGAGAGAGTGCGGGACAGAGGAGGAGCTCCGGAGGTGCGGCGAGAGGAATTGGAGAAGCTGGAGGAGGACGAAGGAGTGAGGGAGGTGTGGAAGTGAGAATTGGGAAGCTTGCTGTGATCGTTGGTGTCTAGGGAAAGAGATGAAATTCTGGCAGCAACAGTAGTGGAGCTGGAGCTCCTGAGGTGGGGAGGAACATACGACATCGTCTTCCTTCCTTCCCTGCTTCCTTCACAACTGCAGGTTCTTGTTTCTGTTCAGGGAAGGCACAGCCCACAGATAGGGTAGTGGTAGGAGCCTAAACCAGATGCTCTTGCGCTGCTAACATGAGTGAGTCTCGGGATGATGGCGATACGCAACCTAGTGAATCGATATCTTTCTTCTTTTTTTTTTTTGGTAACAGAATTGATATCTTTCGCTCCCTTTTCTTTTTCCCTTTTTAACCAAATATGGGCTTAATGGGCCTTTCAGGGTTAAAATGGAGGCCCATGAATCAAATGGGGCTCTTGCTTGAGCCCACTAGCTTTCTCACCAGGCTCGGCTGAATTTCAAATATTTGAACAGAAAGGCATGAAGACACGTACACCCCGTCTAGTCAAGGCCAGGGAGGGGTGATCATTTACATTACAAGACAATGAAGGCATGAAATGTCTATTATATCCCCATAATCCGATTTTTGTTCATGTTAGTTTGTTCTATCGTGTTAGAAGGACTTATGGTTTTCCCATTTTGCGAATGCACATATGGTTATCTGGAAGCATGAGGAGGAGGATCACTGAAAAAGTGGGGAAAGAGAAGACCTTGAAATTTTAAAGTGAAACCGCACGAAAAGGGAGCTCCTACTAATAGCTAAGAGGGTACAGACTTTTATGGCTGGCTTCTTATCAAAAGAAAATTACTCACTAATGCTAAAAGATATAGGAAAAGTATAACATCATATATATATATATATATATATATTTCTTTGGAAAAGGCATTGCTTACTGGTTAACTCACCAGCTACTACATTCAAACTTAGAGGATTCTTGAAAAATTGGATTTTGCATAACTTGTTGGAAATTATGAGAAGCAGGGAATTGCTGTATCTTTTATAGTGAGAATTATGCTGCTGAAAATATTTTGATAAGTATTCGTATTATAGTTAGGCATTCCTTAAAAAGTTTTTCTACTTTCAATTCAATCATGTAAATCCTTTGCTTGTATATCGCTTGACTTTGTATAGTTTACTCCTCTGATTCTTAATGTAAGACCCATTTAACTAATTTGATTATATTAAAGAAGTTGGATAAGTTAGTTAATTATAAGAAACGTGACATATTTTTTCTAAAACACCATAATCATCTTTCTTAATACCTCCTCTCCCTCTTGTACTTGATTATGGTTGAAGGAGTATCGATAGGGATAATTTAGAAAAAATTAATAAATATGATAAATGGGTCTTATATTAAGAACCAAAACCAACTTAATAATTGGTCATATATTAAGGACCGAATGAGTACTTTGCAATGAGAATTATCCATTTCACTAAAAAAAAAACTTTAGACAAAATGTTTTTGAAGTGGGGCCTTCTTTCATTCTTGTCACCACATTTGTTTTTTTAGGGGAGAATTACAATAAGATCCTAAACAAGAAAAACAATTGAAAAACAAGTCTCAAAGATTGTCATTCTTACTGTAAGACCTGTTATTATAAATTGTTGAGATTATTATTAGAACTTTTAATAATTATTTTTCTTCCGGGACTTGATTGTAATTTTCTTTTTATTGCAACGTGCCGCGCGTGCCTTGCATGTGTTTCTGTACTTTTCTTTGCTTTTCTTGTTATTTTAGCCATTTACTTATTAATTGGGACTCGCTTATCCTAGTTTTAAGTTTTAACCTGGCTCTCCGACGGAAGTTATTAATAAAAAGTGCAAGATATTCATACAAATGGTTGTGGTTAATCAAAGCAAAAGATTCGAGTGTTGCTTTTCAGAATCACTAAAAGCGAATTACTAAAGCCGAAAAAGGCCAGAAGCTATGGGGAAAGAACAGGAGAGCAAGGAATCAGAGATGGGGACCAAAATGATGGGGAAGCATGAACTCATATGCAAAATCTGTCATTATCACTAAAATCCAGGGGGACTTGAGGATTTACCCATTCTATTCCTTTCACACCAACATTTATCCACCGGCTTTTCTCCTAACCCACCCATTTTCCCCCCAGTCACAATCATAAATTCTATTTATAAAGTTTAAATTTAAAAAAAAAAATTTGTACGTCTGGGACTGGGTTGTGCCATAGCTTCAGAGTGTGTTTGGTACGAGGGATTTAGGAGGGAGGGGAGGGAATGGGAGGGATTTTAATCATTTTTCCTTGTTTGACAACACACAAATTTTAGGAGGGGAGGGGAAATTTTATCCTCAACCTCCCCTCCAAAATTGGGAGGATTTGGAGGAAAAGGGTAATATTTTGTCATATTATGACTATTATGCCCATATTTTGTCATGTTGTGACTATTATGTCTATATTTTGTCATGTTATGACTATTATGCCTACGCCTTAAATAAAATAAGAGCAAAATTGTCCATATTAAAATATTTTTCCCTCCCCTTCCCTCTTTTTTTATAAATCCAAACAAGATAATATTAAAATCCTTCCACTCCCCTCCTCTTCCTTTCATTGAGCCAAACATACTCAGTGTCTCCCTGCTCTTCCTTCATATCATCCCAGGCAAAGTCCTCACAGGAAACGATTTGTATGTTCAGGCTGCTTGTACAGAAAATAGCGGTCCAAATGGCTACTGATTAAATAAGCATTGTTTTTAAGGGTCAGCTTGTGCACTTAGTCTGGGGATAATATCAATATTACAATGCGCTGCTTTCGACTTGCAAGTGGCGTGCTCCAGATGCCTCTTTTTGTTCTCTCTTTTCTCTTCTATTTCTCTGTCTTTGTTAGGTTTCTAATTTCGCATGCCATATCAATTAATTTCTCATACCATTATTTTGCCTTTTTCCTCGCCACACATACATGTTAAAATCGATGTCCCGCGTGATTCGGGAAACATGTGATTTTTTTCTGGACATGGCACACCAAACAGCACCTTCAGGTGAAAATAACCTAATACCAACTGTTTGATTGTCTATTTTGTTAACTTCCTATTCTCTCACGAACTTCTTTACCTTTAAATTTTTTGCCAACTCATAAAATTCTGTATTATTTGGTCATATGATTTGGAAACTTCGATTATTTTTAATTTATTCATTCTGATGCACAATTGCATATGGCCAGAAGTTATTGTCGTCCCTTCTCAAATACTCTAATATTACACACACACGCACACATCATATATGTGAACAAAAGCATATAATAAAATAAAATTAGCTTGCAAACATAATATACATGAAGTGGAATTGTGCACGTTAACAACGCTAACCCACCATTAAAGTTCAAAACAAACTAAAATATATTTTTTATATGTATCCTTTTTTTTAAGACAATCCTATTTAAAGTATTGTCAAGCACTAAATATAGTGTATCTCCTAATAGAAATTCCTTATGAGAATCCAGATTGTTATGCTAGGCTAAACTCCTGTTGATGGTAAAACGTTTTATCAATGGTTGTGCGCAACACTCAAGGGCTTATTTGAAAAGGTTAACATAAATATATTTTTAATCATAATTTACAAAATATAAGACGAGAATAAACCAAAGAAAAAAACAGATGCCAACAAACCCGGAGTCCCTGGATGGGCCGGCTAGCTAGGGACCGCCCGCTTCCGTTTACAAACCCGAATAAAGTTTAGTCAAAACCTGACGGGAGAGCCAACCAGAGCCTTGCTCTGCATAACTCCTCATTTTAGTGGATCACAATCACGTCACCTTCTTCTGGACCAACTGGCTATCTCTCTCTCTCTCTCTGGGACCATTTGAATTCTGATAACTACTTCAGCTTAATCTCATGTTTGCCAGTTGGGCTTGTGCTGAGCTGTATACGCCGGAAATTACGCAAAAAGGTTGAAAAGCCGGGAACTGTTAAACGAGCTAGGGTGAAGAAGGGCTGGTGGGTGATTTGCTGAAATTTGTCTGGTTAACCAGCCTTTTTTCACCAACCCTCCTGTAATACTGTTAGTTATATTACCCAACCAAATTAAGCTCATCACCCTGCCAGTCACCTAACGTCCCCATACACCAGGTAAATTTAATTATACATCCCCTTCTTCATTCAAAGACTCCGTCTATTTGATGGCTATCAAATTGTAAACTCCATTCTGATTTATTGGCCGGAAGGTCTATTCTAACTCTTCTCCCTGCGTATGCTTAGTGGCCAGTGAATTGTTTATTACTCCTCCTGTCCTTAATATACTTAATATACTTAGAACCTAACAGTCGAGTTGATTTTGATTCTAAATATAAAACTTATTTTTTATATCTATTAATTTTTTTAAATTATCTATATGGATCTCCCTCAACCATAATTAAATAGAAGAGGGAGAAAAGATATTAAGGAAGATGATTGTGGTGTTTTAGGATAAACATGTCATATTTTTTTTATAATTAACTAACTTACCTAACTTTCTTAATTTAATCAAATTATTTAAATAATTTTTATATTAAATATTAGAAGAGTATTTTATTTTTACCGGTGTTGAGTTATAAAGCTGTGAAAATAAATATTACTCCTCCGGTCCTTAATATAAGACCTATTTAACTAATTTGATTAGATTAAGAAAGTTAGGTAAATTAGTTAATTATAAGAAATATGATATGTTTTTCCTAAAATACCATAATCATCTTTCTTAATATCTCATTTTCCTCTTCTACTTGATTATGGTTGAAGGAGTATCAAGAAGAGTAATTTAGAAAAAATTGATAAATATAAGAAATGAATTTTATATTTAAAATCAAAATCAATTCAATAATTAGGTCATATATTAAAGACCGGAAGATTACAGTAAAGTGAAGGAATAATGATTCAGGAGGTTTGATTGTTGGGGGCAAAAGAAAATTAGAAGTTGAGAAGTCATAATTAAAGTGCGTAGGGGTAATTCTAGTATGGCGGTGGGGTGATGGGAGGCTGACGAGAAGTGAAGTGAATTAAAGATGAGTGATACGGCGAGAGAATAAGGTGGGCAATAATCAAGGAGTTAGGTGAGCCGCTCGTCCACATTGTCCTTTTTTGGAAGGGGTTAGGTGGCTCCCTCTTTTACAACCCCTATCCTCACCTCATTCCTTATTTTTCGCTTACAGTTTTATTTTTCAAATAATAATTTTTTTATTCTTAATATAAAGTTTATTTAACTAATTTGATTAGATTAAAAAAGTTAGATAAATTAGTTGATTATAAGAAATAT